CCAGAGAACGTCCATATTTGGTCCACCCAAAGTACGTCCCACTTCGTACGTCCATAATACGTCCATTTTACGTCCAGGGACGTCCGGACCAAAACTGGACGTATATTGGACGTCCATAGGACGTCGTGTGTTACTAGGGTAACTTTGTAAAAATTGTAAGTAAAGGGATGCCGTATATAAATAAATAAATAATATATATTTTTGTCCAACGTTATCTCAGCTACATTTTTTTATACGACGTACAGATTCTTGGTAAATCGATATTCTCAGTTTTCCACCACCTATGAGGAGTGGTTTTAGAGAGAAGCCTGGAGGTAGGAATTGCAAGCTTTTGGTATGATTTTTAGAGGTTCAGTGGAATTTTCTTCTCTGACGACTGGAGTATTCTTTCCTTGTACATTTAGGTATATACAAATCATATCTTGGTTACCGTTAGACCTAGATACAACAATAGACTATTTTAATGCGCAGAAAATAAGCTTTCTGTTTTATTTACTAATGCATATACCTATATGTACAAAAAAAAATTATAATTAAAAATTTTAAAAATATCCGTTAAAAGAATCGTAGAAATTTTGAAGAATGGTGTCTTGCTTAAAATTGGTTATAGAATATTCTACTATACACCATTTTAAAGATAATTTCTGTTTTTTTCATCTACAACTACCATATACCTAAACCTGCGTAGAAAAAAGTTATAGAACAATGTTTGCGAAAAAAAATAGGAAAATGGCTAAAAAATGGTGTGAGTGGCGAAATTTGAAAAATGGTTTCTGGGATACTATAAATTCTAAATACTCTTTCCAAGCGTCATTTTAAAGAGGCAGGATACAAGTTTTTTTCCCTCAAAGCAATGCCCATACCTATATCTCCGTGGAAAAAAGTTATGGAGCAAAAAAATCGCGTGTTCGTTTTTTGCTTCGTTTTTGAATATATTTTTTGAAATTTAATTTTAAAGAACTTTTACGTAGATGCATATGTACAAAAACCGCATATAATTCACCCAAATGCACCCTAATGTATAGGAACAAATTCACTCCTTTCTCAAAAACGTACACCTTTAACCCTATAATCGTCACACTTTAAATTCATTGAAATAAAATTCTAAAGATTCGTGTAGGTGTTTTTTAAGCGATTATAAACGTATCAATGGGGTTGGTATATGCAATTTATGTATAAAAAGTGGAATTTGACAATGTTGCAATTTAGTAACATTATCCATTAAAGAATAATAAGAACGTTGCTCCAAAGGAGCAGTAACAGTTTAAGGTTAAATTTTTTATATAGTGCAAACGAAGGGATGATCACTAACAAAAAGTAATTTTTTTGTGGCTTACATTATGTAAGAAAACCTACAGAAATAAGCAAACATGAACTTTAATACTTACAGAGTTACAAGAAAAAACAAAGATAAAAATTTATGGAGATTTATGAAAATAAAAAAAAACAATTCTCAACAAGAGAGAAAATTATGGAGAGTTATGAAAATAAAAAAAAACAATTCTTGGCCGGTGTCAAACTTAGTCTCATGTCACATTTTTGACATAAAATTGTCCTGTAGCCATTATTGCAAAATCGGCATCTTTCTTTTGGCCCATAGATAGGCAAGTGTCCTACGTTGTCTTTCCTAGTGATGTCATGTGGTCAACTTTTCGTAGAAGTTACAATTTTTTCGACCATCTCGTTCAGTGAAGGACGCCATTTAGCTACATCTCAGCACAATGATGTTTATATACTAGCCAGGAGTTCACAACACACATATCTAGTAGATATATAACAATATCATCGTCTAGCCCTACGTGGACTGCAGTATAACCCTAAAAGAGGATTAGCTTTATCCACACCTCCCATGTGCCAATATATATATATATATATATATATATATATATATATAATATATATATATATATATATATATTGTAGTTTTGTATATATATATTATATTTATATTTATATATATATTTTTTTTATTGTATTTAATTTTATATTAAATATATATATATATATATATATATATATATATATATATATATATATATATATATATATATGGCAGAAAAGGAACATAATCTTTTTGTTGTAAATGATTACCATATCGTTTTATAGGAGTCACAGGCTTGGTTCAACAGTAAGTTTTACCTAAAAACACACATTTGTTATCATGCCATTGTACCAGAATTATCTCCTTGTGAGAGTCAAATTTATGGACATAGGAGCCTCTAGGTAGCTTTTACATAATTTTGTCAGATTCTAATGGACAAACGGCAGTTCTATCTGCTCTAAATGTTCCTCAGCTGCGATTTTTAAATTAGTTTTTAAAAATAAAGTAATGGTAGGCTGCTAAAATAATTGTCAAAAAATACTACCGTATGTTCTGAATTTGGAATAGTTTTAAATAGTGCAACAACAATACCGGGACTAAAACCTAACTCTTTTTATATACCTATTAACTAGTTAGAAGTACCTGCTAACTTGTCAAAAGTAAACGTACCCTGACAAGCTATGAAGTCTTTGATGATGCCAGAAACATTTGCTTTTACAAACAATTTGAAATCCCATTTGTGTGTTAATTACTATTTAACTGGGAATAAGCCACAATTGAAGATAAAAATACGTTTATTGGCGTTTCAATTTCCACTTCGAAAATCGTTCTCAAAATACAAACAGTAAATTTACTGTTAGCCCTATTTTTTGAACATAATCAATAGCCTACTAGAAGTAGAAGCTTGTATGTCATATAATATGATCCTATGGCAGTGTCCTGTTAAATAACGACAATCAGTCAATATTTGATTTTATTTTTTTATTTCTTGAGCCCTTTTTATTTCTTGATTCCCAGTGAATGTTGCTCACATAACTATATCCATCTCTTACCGTGATCGTCAACTATATTCTCCAGGAGTTGTCTAATTATTTTACTGCCACAAGCTTTACCCACTTACCCGTCTAGGTCCCTAAACAATATTATAAAACGGTTTTTTAGGTATAGACAGGATTCCGTCTTACAACGGCAAGATTTTTACATTCAATTATGTGGGTATTCATCAAAATTTCTGTCATATACAGGATTCCGTGTTAAAGATATTCCGGAAAACTCAGGTTTCCATGTATTAACAAAGGACTTATTATTTTTATTTAAATATGCGTTAATTTTCTTAATAGTGTTAAAAAATTGAAAATACATCGATTAATAATATATTATGATTATATTAAACTGTTACGGGGAAAATTACGTTGTTACGTTGGTAAATAAATATGGAGGTCTATGTTTGAAATTAAAATAAGCTTTCTTGATAACATTTTTACACCAGGTCAATCCTTCTACCTTTTTAACGTTAAACAACAGCGCTGAATTTAGAGAATAATAATTATAGGAAGCGTAGACCAAAATTATCTTAATTTAAAAAATTTCACAAAACTATTATACAACTTATTGGTAATAAAAAGCAGTCGCAACTCTCAAAATAATTACGTAGTTGTATTTCTCTTTCTAGTCCCCTGTCTTCGTCATCGATTCATTAATAATATAATTGTGTTATTTTTTGCCTGGTGAAATATATCTAATTCGTTGAAATTTCTGCTCCAGTCTCGGATATTGCGTAACCATGAATGTTATTTTCTTCTAGTTTCCCTCTTAGCCTCTATGAGGGATGAGTTATGAGTAAGACATCTCAAGAAAAACTCTAAAGATGGGAAAGGAAAATATTGTGCAGAAAATATGGTATAAGGCAAAAAGCGAAAGGATAGGAGGACTGATAACGAACTGTACGGAATTTTCGAAAAATCTATAATAAGTAAAATTATACGAACACGTAGACTACATATAATGATTAGGATATTTGGGCAGAATTCAAAATAAGAGAAAGGTTAAAAACATTGCATGGAGAAAACCTGATCTAAAAACAATAAGAGGCAGACCCAGACAAAGATGGTCAGATATGATTACGGAAGATTAAAAAAAAAACGAAAATTTGAAGAAAAATGTTAAAAAAAGATGATAGCGAAGGAAGATAACTCAGCTTAGCCTTATACACCATATATTATACCCATCATAGCCAACATTACAAGCCTTAGAAGTAAGGGCTTATAAGGATTGTAATAAATTATTATTATCTATACTCCATGTATTGTTCTTAGAACTTTTTTTTTAAAGTTTTCAGTAAATTCTTATCTTTTTAGGTAAGTCATTAAACCGTATATTAGAACTAATTTTATCATAGTTCTACATATATTTTTTTGTACTTCTTAAGATATTTCGCGAATTTAGTTGTTTTGACACACAAACTAGCATCTTTTAGCAAGGAGGATTTGTTTCTTGATTTTGTTGTTCATTTCATTTTTTGTAATGACAAGAGCGCCAAGATATACAAACTATTAAAATTTTTTTTCACATTTTTTTCTGGACTTTTATTACAGTTTCTATAGTTTTTCAAGCTTTCTGTAGCTGTAATAATAATTCTAAGCTGCGGTTTTAGCTATGTCATCTGCATATGCAAGAAGCTGAATGCTCTTTTAAATATTATACCGTTGATGTTTGTGCTGTAATTTCAGAAGTTCTTCTGTCTTTTACATTGCTAAATTAAACATGCTGTAAGATAGTGTATCACCTTGTCTAACGTCAATAATACTTGTGATTGCGCGAGACTGGTCCCTATCTGACCAAACTTTGCTCTCTACATTTCCGATAGTTAGTTTTATTAAGCGTACCAAGAAATTTGATATTAAAAACTCTTGTCTTGCATTGTAAACCTTGTTATTTATGCTATCATAAGCGTATCTTAAATCAAAAGTGTCTGGTATGTGTTAATACCATATTTCTTTGTCATTTTAGAAGTTGTTTTAATGTTATTATTCTAATATTCCGCTCAATTGGTAACTTATGTTGTTTTCAAGTTTCTGTTATCAATTTGTATAAATTAAATGTTGCTTTATCGTTATAGTCATTTAAAGTTGTTAACAGAAAGTTAACCTTAAATAAATGAATAAAAAAATCAATTTAATTCATTTGTACAATTTAATTAAATATAAAAACAACATTTTTAAATACATCTTTCTGACTTATTTTTCTCTTCAATTCTTAATTTTAAGTTTTTATGTCGGTAAAAAATACAAAAAATACACTAAATCAACCTCTTTATTAAATACCATGTAATTCATTAAAAAAAAAATTAGATTTAGGAAAACTATAACGTTTATTGAAGTAAAAAAGATTTAAGAAATAAAGACATCTAATCATATCTCCATGTGCAAATTTCTACTAGAAAAAGTGTTCCAAAAGTATATTTTTCGATTTAATTACCACTCCAATATACCAGGAATGTATTTATCAATAAGCTTTTCATAGTAAGGCCAAAGTTTCTCTATATCAGGTACGTCGGTACTCTTCGTGTAGAGATCGTATTGGCTGAAACATAAATTTAATAATAATTAGATTGGATATTTTATGATCTTTATATATATTTGTTTAAATGAAGTTTGTTTGAAGTGAAGTTTGAATGGAGGCGGCAGAACGTATTTACATACGGGACAGTATGGCCAATTTTAAAGAATATAATTAAACAAAAAAAGAAAATCATAAAAAGATAAATTAATAAAAGATTGTCTTTATACATTTTAAATTAAAAAATAAAAAACCGTGTATTTTCAAAACAAACCGTGTATTTTCAAATCAAACGTTAAATTTATATTTATGTTCTGAAAGCTAAGTTCTTTTTGTTAAAATTCCATTGAATAATGAACACTATGTTAATACTAATCGTTACATTGTCTATTAAATTTGTTTATTATCAAATGTAAAACCGTAAATACCTTTTTAATAGTCATAATGTATGTGTTCAAATCTGTACTAATAAGCTTAATATTGACTGCTGTCTCAATCATTTTAAACTTAGTATATTATACAATATACCAAGGAACCAAATTATAAAAGAATTGGCATTAATATTAGTCCTAACTTCATCCTGAAAAAATCTGAACTTACTTAAATGCGAGCACCCACTGTTTAGTTTGTTCATCCTCTTCAGTTGTTAGATGTTTGTAGTCACCAGAGGTATGCCAGGGGTAAAAACTGTGGTATCTGATCATAGCTAAAGCTTGTGGAGGAAGTTTGGTCTTGTTATGAACCAACACTCTGTATAAGTATTCGTCGTGGCCCCAAGACATCATCAAATTTTCAAGTCCGCAGTTGGGTTTGTACATACCATATTTAGTACTAAAATGACAGATTTTTATTTTTATATAAAATTTTTTTTAAAAAACATATGAATATAAATATCGACAAGACATAATATATTTTTTAGTAATGTTTGTAACAGACCCATTACCAAATAGGAAAAAAAGTGATTTTTATCTTAAGTATGTGTCTATAGTACTATAACCAAAAAACACTTCTTTAACTTACGTCGAGTATAGTAAACTTTATCTATGTAATAGTCGACTTAATATAGTTAAATTATAATTCTTCTGATGAAAGTGATATTTCAGCAAAACATGTTATAATTGAGAGCTGAATAGAGATGATCTTTGGCGCCGAATGATGTGGGTCCATTCCCACTATAAAAATCAAAAGTATTATATTACGAAGCTTCAAAGGCCCTGACAAACTACAACCTCGTAATGTCTAGTTCAGCTTCTCTACACTTAATTGTTCACATTTGACCTTAAACCAACAGCAGTTGCAATTGCAATTGGGTTAAGCCCAGCCTGAGACACTTTCACTCTCCTTTGAATGACATTCGGGCGTTACAATTAATTTGAGAAACGTGTATTAATTCGTGAAACCAGGAACCGCTCCACCTCGCTCCAATGCTTTAGACCATCCCTTTCTTGTCGTGTCTTCTTCTTCTTTAGGTAACATCTCCTCTAGGGAGGTTGGTAATCATCACAGCTATTTTCACTTTTGAGATTGCAGCTCTGAACAAGTCGACGGAACTGCAATTATACCACTTTCTCAGATTGATGAGCCAGGAGATGCGTCTTCTTCCAATACTTCGTTTTCCCTGTATTTTTCCCTGCATTATGGTTTGTAGCAACACATATTTATCCCCTCTCATAACGTGGCCGAGATACTGTAACTTTCTTATCTTAATCGTATTCATGATTTCCATTTCCTTTGTCATCTTTCTGACCTTAACATTTGTATTCGGTCTACCCAACTTATTTTTAATATTCTTCGGTAGGTTCACATCTCGAATGCTTCAAGTCGATCGCTCACCTCTTTCTTTAAGGTCCAGGCCTCCACCCCATACAGCAGCACGGAAAACACATAAGAACGTAATATTCTTATTTTGAGTTGTAAACTAAGGTCTCTACTGCATAATACTTTTCTCATCTTATTAAATGTTGCTTTAGCTTGTCCAATTCTCATTTTTATTTCTTCTGTATACTCGTTATTTTCATTAATAATTGTACCACATTGGGAGTCCTGAATACAAGAACTCAAACACGATATACTAAACCGATTAATGCAGGAAAGCGAGACGCGCTTTTTTCCTGCTTTGTCTATTGATGTAGGATTCGAACTGAAATTACGGCTCGGGTCGGTTTTGGGGTTTTATTAATTTTTTTAGTTGTTAGTGTTTTATAACTTTTTTGGTGGCCGAAAACCGTTTTTTAAATTATTTCTAATTTTTTTTTTGAAGACTGTCTAAAACATAAAAACTTAATAGTGGACATTACACAGTGCCATGAGTATCTTAGTTTATAGAGCTACGAACTTATCTAGTACCAAGAACAGTTGACTACATAGGATAGTTCCATCGCCCAAATTTGTCTGTCACTGCAATACGCGGCTGTGACGTAAGTGTGGGGATGACGAGCAATTATCGACCTTATTGTTACTATTAATTTTTACCGAAGATGAGCCTAATTTGAGATTAAAAAGGTTAAAACGAAAAATTTACGTTTTATTTTTGTAAATAAATGGCAGATTATCAGATTTTTAATAGTTACTAAGACATTCAGACATAAATGATCTGTTTTACATGGCAAATAAAATTTATTTTCAAAATTAATGCATTTGCTAGTGTTATAATTAAATTAATAAATGTCAGTTTACTCTCAAAGTAAATATTTCTTTTAAATAAAATCTATAAATCCGTGTTTTACTTAGGTAGTCAGAGCACAAATTATTATCCAAAAACATTTAATGATAAATAAAACTATTCAATACTGAACTATTTATTTCGTAAACATACATACATAACATATTATAGGTAAAATTAAACAGTATACAATACTAGGAAACTTTAGAAACATTCCCTATGGACCAATTTTATTTAATTTTCTAATGTTTGACCTAGTTGAATCCAACACGGATAAGTTTTTTCGCTTCAAAGTTTCAGCTTTCCTGGATTTTAAATTTCTATAATTTATTCTAATTATTGTTATAAGTATACAAAAGTTTTTAATAAGCCCATATGGTAACACTTTTTCTTTTTTTTTTTAATCGTTTTTGAAATGTTTCCAACAACTCCATTATTTTTCCTATAGGTATCAATATATTTTTCATAATATTTATTCCATAATTTTATTTTTATGGACCACTCATCTGTAGGCTTGATAAGACCTTCATAAGAGAGTTGCTGCACCTATGATGGTAAACTATAACTATGTTTACTAACTTTGCATGTTAAATTACCTTTCATACTTGTTTAATAATTAGTTGTATTTTGCTTCAAAATCTACTTCAGGCTTTAAATCTATATTGTCATCAGCTTGTTCAAAAATTATTTCAGATTCAGTAATAGTATATTCATGTTGATTAGATGCAATATTCAAAATATTTGACCCAACCTTTGTAATTTCTGCCACAAGTTGCTTTTTGTTTATAACATCTAATCTACCTTCACGAGTAGAGACAGAAGGTGTGTCAAAGGTATATTTATACAAAGTGTTGAAACTGCAGTTTTCTTTAAAAGGCGTTTAGTAGGTAAACCTAAAATAAGTTATGTTAAAAAATTTTATAGGCATTTTATTGCTTAACCATTTTACCTAATAATTCATTTTGAAGATCCCTTTCATAGTCATTGTTAGTAAAATGAACAGAGCATATTCTACTAGAATCAGGATTAAAATTATCAGCTCTTCTGCATCAGTTAACCCATTAAGCCCTTATAGGTTCCGACACTAAATACTTTCCTTTTGGAAAACTGTGAAAAATTAACACGCATAATCTTGGGTTTCACACTCTTAAAATTATTGTCACAACCATATATGGCACATCTATTACCACCCATTTTGTTTATACAAGTAAATTGATATAGAAACAATAATTAAATAGTCTTATAAGGCCGTTAAATCGCTAGTACAACAAAAAAATTGCCAGCGGGCACAAATATTCTATATAAAACAATAAGAAATGTCAACCACGAATTTCCACGCCTACGTCACACTCAACCCAACGCATTTCTTACATTGGAGCATAGGACAAAATCAATCCTATCTGTGTTTAGTGTCCTCGATCTAGTACATTTGTATATTTGCCAAGATTTTTTTGAACGTCAATACTTGGTCCATTATAACTCGGACGCTTTTAGCATCTGTTTCTCTGGGTTCTCCCTACTTTTTTTCAAAAGCTCCGCTTACGTTTTTTCGGAGATGATACAATTTTCCACTGGATTCTCCATTCTTCAATACTATCTGGTGTTGTTTTGCAAGTTATTGACCACTATGCCGATATTTCTGTGTGTTGATCGCAGTGTGTTAATTACAGTGTGTCGCAATCGTCTGCATAAGGGCTCAGTAGTGTTAAAGGTGTTCTTGAAACATTGGTGGTGTATATTGTATCCATTACGGGTGACATGACCGCCCCATGCACTCCGGCCTCCAGAGTTCCGAGTTCGGACAGGACTTGTCCTATTTAAACTCTGAAACTTCAGTTGCCCAAGTACGAAGTGGTCAGCCTCGTCATGGCTCCACTGTATTCTTAGCCTCTCATTTTATATGTCAATCCTTTATTCCACACTCTATCGAAGGCTTTGCTTACATCAAGGAAGAATGCTCCTGTGTACTGCTTATCGTTGAATCCGGCTATTATATACTCTGTTAGTCTGAGTAATTGTAGCTTGCTGGAGTAGTTTGCTCTAAATCCGAACTGAGCTTCTGGGATTAGTTCTAGCTAATCTGTCTCTGTTTGGAGTTTACAAACAGAGTGAATATACAAGTTTAAGGGTGATCCTATTTAAAAGATATTTATCTGGACGGGTTTTTTGCATATGATGAATAGACAAAATATGGTGTTTTTTGATTTTAAATCTTTAATTAGAAACATTATGTTTGTGTAAAATATTTTTATTACATATTTTTTAGTTATCCTCACATTGGACGTAAGGTCAAATTAAAATCGTATATCTTCTATCTTGAGTTAATGTTAATATTACGTCAGATCCTATCAACATTGACCTTAACATTAAATAAACGCGTCAAACTTATCGACTAAATAAATGTATCAAGAGAAATACATTGTCAATCCCAGCTTTTATGTACCGAAAATACATTCAGCAAAATAATTATTTTTATATATCATATCGTTAGAAATGAACCGTAATAATAAAAAAGTTTTCGCCTTCAAGATCAGGAGCCGATTTTGTTTGTTTTTAACTATATTAGTCTAAATCATTTTTTTTTGTTTAAAACACATTTTCTAGGTTTCAGTGAATCTCACGTGGTTCAGTGGCTCAGCTTCTTTAGTTTTTTCCTCGGACTGCCTTTCGAACTGGTGAAACTGAGACGAAAGGTGATGCAGTTTTATGTGTCGATTTTTAATATTCTTCGTGTTTTCTTTTTCTATTTTTGCCAGTTATTTCCCTGTTTCTAATGCTGCTTCTTTAGACTTCAGTCAGACTAGTCAGTTCGATTAGACTAATTAGATCATGAACATCAGTCAGCGATTTATCTTAGTTGATGAATATCCAGTAAACGTTTTCAATTTTTTCTACACTATGCAGTTGCAACATAGTTTTCTATTATCTCTTTTATCTCATTATTTTATCTTATAGCTGGTTGTTCTGTGTTTCTTTTGTCAGCTCTTTGTCTCCAGTAAAATTGTTTCTGTTTATCTCTGTTTTTTTTCTTGTTAGAAGGCTGGCTTATCTCCATTTCACTTTTGCTAGCTTCTCCATGATGTCTTTTACCTACCTCTTCCTTCAGATATATTCTCTTTATCGGATATCAACAGATCCTTGGTGCTAATTTTTGTGGATATTAATACAGAATTAGACACAGTTAAAATTTCGTTGTGTTGACAACTTTGGAAAAATATATTTTTGTCTACCATAATAGTATTTACAATATTTACAAACATTCAACAGATAAGGTAATAATGTATAACACCACTGAAAACATCAAACGAGGCGTTCGTCAAGGGGGCATCGTGTCATCAAAAACATTTACCATTGTTTTAGAGCAGACTTGCGAAACATCAGGTTGGGGAATAAGGGTTTAACGGAAGAAAGCCAAAGACTTTCTAATAGCTGGTTAATCAAATAAAATCGTAAACAGAAAATGAAGTACATTATATATATATATATATATATATATATATATTTATTATATATATATATATATATATATATATATATATATATATATATATATATATAATAATGTTCGGAAAGATTTCCGCGGTTAGTACAATAAAACCTAGAGCTAAGATTAATATTATTACTAAAATTAATATCAAACTCACCAGTCTTCCGGGTTGAACCGCGTCGATATTCATTTTGCCGAGATTTCGGCATCCTCTCTGATGCCTTCTTTAGGGCTTCCGAGGTCTCAGTCTCCCGAGCCCCCAGGCACTACTACACTGTTCACTTGTCACCACTACGGCACTGTAACTACTACGGCTGGGAACAGGAGACGGTTCATTTATACCGTCGATGGCCACGCCATCATAGTGGCAGTGCCGTAGTGGTAGTGACAGTGCCGTAGTAGTGACAAGTGAACAGTGTAGAAGTGTCTGATGACTCGGGAGACTGAGACCTCGGAAGCCCTGAGGAAGGCATCAGAGAGGATGCCGACAGCTCGGCAAAATGAATATCGACGCGGTTCAACCCGGAAGACTGGTGAGTTTGATATTAATTTTAGTAATAATATTAATCTTAGCTCTAGGTTTTATATATATATATATATATATATATATATATATATATATATATATATATATATATATATATATATATATATATATATATATATATATATAACAAGCTAGTCTTCTACTGCTGGCGCCGCTTCTCGCATCCTAATTTCCAGCGTTTTCTGTCGAAGCAATCTTCAGTTGTTAGATCTCTGGTGGTCACTGCATCGTCGACATCGTCTCTCCAGGATCGGCTTGGTCTACCTCGTTTTCTTCTAGTTGGCGGAGTCCATTCTTCTATTTTTTTTCTCGATCTGTTTTCCGGCATTCTCTGAAGGTGTCCATACCAGTTTGAAGGTATACAATTGTACACAATCGAAGTCGTTTGGCTTCGATTGTGTCTATTATGTCTAGATCGATTTCCATTTCTCTCCAAATATCTTCGTTTCTTACCCTATCAAGTCTAGTGAGCTGGCAACTTCGTCTCCAGTAGTTCATTTCCATGGCCTTAATTTTTGATTTGTTTCTTTGGTTTTTATTTCCCAGAGTTCGGCGCCGTACAGTCCAATAATTTCTATTATTGTTTTATAAATTCTTCTTTTATTCTCTTTTGTTATTTTTTTATTCCATAATAGTCCGTGTAGCTGTCTGGTGGCTGATCTTGCTTGGCCAATCCTGGAATGTATTTCTTCGCTACTTTCTGCTTTTGATGTTATTTGGACTCCCAAGTACTTAAAATGGTCTGATGGTTTTATAGTTCCCATTTCGATTTGTAGGCTTTCTGGTTTTTCTCCTACAACTAAGTACTCAGTTTTTTATATATTAATTGTGAGGCCCCATTTGTTGTACTCATCTTCCAGTTTTCTAAGCATGTAGCTTATATCACTCTCGTCTTCAGCTAGAATGACTTGGTCGTCAGTGAAGTGTATCGTGTACAATCTATCATCTCCGATTGGGATGCCCATATTGCAGCACTTTCTTCTCCACAGTGAGATATATATATATATATATATATATATATATATATATATATATATATATATATATATATATATATGTGGACGCTTGTAATTAAAATTACAATTGGCAGATCTAATAACTTATTGTCAATTCTATACGAAACCACAGAATAATAAACAATCAGAATGCCCACTCTCAGATGCCGCCTTTGAAGTTTTCCACACGCGCGCTATGTTTTAGGAGGAAACACATAACACAGACATATGATTTGTGAGGTTATGTAATTGTTTATATTTATGTTTAATTATATAATATTTATGTTATCATATTTTACGATGTTAATATAATTGTATAGTATGTCTATGATTGCCGTAAGTCAATTAAACCGGGTTAATTTTTCTATGCACACCACATAAACAACACTGGTTCACTCTAAAACATGGCGGAACGTCTGCGCAAAGGAGATGCGCGTACTTAAATTTCCATGGATAGTGGGCATTCTGATTGTTTATTTTGAGACGAAACTCACTTACCCTTTTGAATGTGACAGATGTCAGAAAGATGAATAGCGGCGTCAACGTGGCTGAAGCCTCAGCGTCGCGATGTAGAAGTATGACGATCGATGTCCACCGGAAAGAAAATATATGCTTGACTCACTTGACGATGGCTGTTTAGCGGTACGACCCCTTGCTTGCGAAAATTAGCAAAAATGAGTGAAACTCAACTAGGATGGTATTTCTTATGTTTAGGACCTCCGCACAGAAGTAATCAACTAGACTGTCCGTACTTTAAACTGTCATCTTAAAATGTTTGCACAGGACGGGTACATTTGCTGAAGGAATTTAATATTTTAAAAACTTTATCTAAAATGTTCTGGGGTAAAATGAATAGTTCCCCGAGAACATGTTGGGATTCAAAGTAATGAATTCTCAGAAATTAACAAATATTATACAATATAGAAAATTTAAGAAGATAATGAAGATGTATAAGGAGAATAAGAAATTAAAATATATAACTAAAGTCTAACTAAATAACTAAAGTTCTAAATACATAATATTATTTCCAGACGACCTAGTGAAGCCAGCGAAATGTTATGTGCATAAAAAGTCGATATATATGAGATTTTTAAATTAATGGAAAAGAAATAGAATTGTTCGAGAAATATACCTATCTTGGACAAGCAATAAAGATAGACATGGACCACTAAACGTGTAAAATTTTTAGGAAAATGTTCAACAAAGAACAATTAAAAGGTCTATACTTGAAATAAAATTAAAATATTGAAAATTAAATTAAATTATAAGAGGAATTAGTTTGTTTTGTTATTAACGTAAAAAACAAGATAGTATCTATCGGCTTTCGCGTGAAATTTCACGTGTTAAAATACTTACTTTAATTAGCTGATTTGAGTTAAAACATATTTAAAAAATATATTAATCGGTAATTGATCAATCTATTTTTTAACGTTTGGAAAAACTATTATTTTCATTGTTTTATTAAAAAATAGGTTTATTCAGTAAATATAGGCTGAGTCAATTTTTTATAAAACAAGTAGGTACTAAGAACTTACTTGTATTTCGGATTTTGACCATCCACATTGTTGTTAAAAGATGTCTCTCTATAAACAATATTGTCGCCCCATTCAGCTCCGACTACGAAAGTATCTCCAACAACACACCATTGGGGTTCGTCAAAAAAGGCCAAAACCTAAAGAAATATAATAAAATTTTTAAACTGTTGATAATATTAAATTATCATCAACATCATCATTACTATTGTAACGATTCAAAGGAGTATTTATAAAAATTTTAATTCACGTAGTTCAAATTAAATTTAATTCAGAAAGCAGTAATTTTTATGCCAGCCTGAATAATGTGTAAATATATATCTTTCACTTATAATATATTCGAACGGTATTTTATAATAAACATTTGAATCCCGAATGGAGAGACGTATAATTGCTCTGAAATTGTTCCTCGTTAACTAATTTTCATTGTTAGAATTGCATTTAACAGATAAGCACAATTTGTGACTGTTAACAAATTACGAAACGCTCTATCATATTCCTGTGAATTCGACCAATCGCTTTGCTAGATATAATGGATCACGAGATTTGTTTTACCGGCAAAAATAATACATGTGTGTGAATTAATATTATTTAGTAATTGGAGCTTGAAGAAAAAGGTTGAATTCAAAGGCGTACCTCCTTTACCGGCTCTTAGTCGGTAAAAGGGCCTTTGGTTATTGTTTTGAGTATTGTTTGAGCAATTTTTAAAAACCAAAAGTATCTTAGGGACTGTAGTGCATCCCCAATTTCTAGGTTAGAAGTTAGAACTAAAAACTACATATGGTATAATAATGGCAAAGGTAAATTTTCAATTTTCAATTTTTTTTATAACATTTAATATTAAGATCATTTTTCAAATATGTTTACCAGGTCATCGGGACACATTTATAATAAATTTTCTATAAAGATGTAAGTAAGAAGCTATTAGCTTGTAATGGACACTTCTGCAAAAATCTTCTTTTCTCTTTGAGCACCAATAAATATTTACATGTTTGTTATTATAAGCGAATATACGAGGTAAGTGTGATTAATACTATTTATTTGTCTATATATGTATTTTGGTTATTGTTTATAGCTATTTGTTTATATAAATGTATTTTGGTTTTGAGGTTTCTTTGTCCCATATAAAAAAGATAAAGTAGTTATTTTCTGTCCTTTTTCATTAATTTCTTTTATAATCCGTTTTCTTACCTCTTTGGTAAATTATTTATAATTTTTATTTGTATTGTATATCCCATATTTCTGGTTTAGCTCTAGTAGCTATCATCTCCCTATTTTTTTACCTTTTCTATTTTTGTTCATCCAAGTCCACATATTACCTGATTCTGAGTAACGCGGCCTCGTTCATTTTATGTTCCTCAACCATCACCAAGGTTTGTATGTTACACTCTCAACATCATCGATATTATTAAATATAAACGTTTACGTTTAACTACCTCATTATTACCAAACTAATTTTTTACTGCTTCTTCTTCTTCTTTTGTCTTTGTTTATTTTAGAGTTTTTCCTGGTTTTATTTATTACAGTTTGAGTAAGTCAGATTGGGTGTATATTTTGTTAAGCTTTTAACCATTTTCTTTACGTTTTGTTATAGACCCATAATCGGTCCTTTACAATATAATAGACTTTTTTGTTAGTTCCCTGATATTTTCTCATTTGGTCCTTTCTAGCAGCTCTTTTTGTAATTTATTTTGTCAAATTTGTATATCTCTAGGGTCCTAACCAATTTGGTAAAATTTCCAGTTCTATCTCTAATTATATTTTCACGTAATTTTAATATTTTGAATGTAATATAAGTGAATGCTCATTAATAAAAATTCAAAGTCGTTCATCAAAAATAATATTTCTAAATGTTGCTCCATTAACAGAATATTTAATATTAGATTGAGTAGTAAATCTGTATAATAATTACTTTTCCCGCATCGTGGATTAATCCTGTAAGTTGAAACCAATCATCATCTGGATAATCTTTTCTGATTCTTTCTGCTGTTTGGAAAGCGTGAACTATATTAGGAATATCAACATCGGGATCACTTTCGTCCACCAAATCGTTTAATTTTATAAGAGCTTCTTTCATTGAGTATTTCAGGTGATCGAATTTGGTCCATTTCTCAAGTTTGTCTAAAAAAAAAAAAAAATGATAAAACTGTTTAGTACGAAACAAACATGTAATACATATAAAAAATCAAAATTATAATATTGTAACACTACCATATTATCTAAAAATTTGATAGAAACTAGGAAGAAAAACAAATATAGGGTATTTTTATATATAGTTTATATATAAATCACACAGAAAAATATATTATACATAAAAGAAAAACTAAAAACACAGTTTCTATTCATAAAGACTAATGACACAGCTCGAAATTTTTAAATATTTTTGATTTAACTCTGCACCGCTCGCGTCTAGTTTGTCATACACTGCTCTTAGAAATTTTCAGATAATTCAAACATTGGCAAAATTACAGCGCCATTGTTTATAGTACCTTCTTGAAACATTAGTACAACCCTCAATAATAATAATAACTAAAACAATGCAAAAAGGTACGATTTTAGACGATTTTTAATTATGGAATCGAACACATTACATGGAATAACAATGGAAACATAAACAACTGACCAAAAAAGATGTTGTGGTCCAGATTACATGGATACTACTAGCAAACCATACCACTTTCCAAGTACACGAAGTTATATGGATATGCTTGATAAATGAGTTAATGCTGTTAAGAGCCCTAAATTAGAGAATGCTGCAACAGAAACTACAAGAATTTTCATGTATGCGCTAGTAATTTTTAAGAGAGAAGGATATAATCAGAGTTGGACATAGGGGCATTAAGAGAACAGCCGTTCCAAGTTTATTTTGACCACCACCAGGTAAGAAGACCAAAACCAAGCTTGTATTCACATAAAACTTGACATTAAAATAACAAAACAATATTGAAATGCTAACAAGTTCTTGTCACAACATTAAGAACACTAAATTATACTACACTCAGCTTGTCTTATTAATATTTCTTGTAACACATACAACATTTTTATAAATAAAGATTTCATTATATATTTTATTCTTTAATTTTTTTGACCAGTTTGACATTTTACTCTAATGGAAAATAAATATAACCTCAACATAACAAGAAAAACCAAATATGTAGTATACAATAAAATGAGTTTACAATCCTAGGTATTTTTACGAATTTTTTGAATTTAACGCCATGTGTATATAACGCCATGTGTATATAATGCACCAATCGTCGTTTTACTCGTTAATTGGTATTTACAAAGAGAGGTATAATAGCATTTGTTTTTTAAGTTTGAATTTAATTTAAATAAATAAATAAAACTAAATTACGAAAAGAAATGCAAATGTTTTGATGAAATATATTCTAATGTACAGTTTCAAGATGCTGAGATGAAAAAGATAAAATTGAAATAAGTGAAGAGGACATCTGTTACGGAATAAGAAGAAAATTATAGTGACGATGATTTCTTTTTCTTCTAGTTCCATGACCGTTATCGATCGTTGGATATCATGGTGGCTACCATATTCGCTATCGTGACTTTATTGACAGCAGCTCTCAATAACGATGTGGTTGATTTTCCATACCATTACCTTAGATTTTTCAGCCATGATGTTCTTTTTCTACCAGGACCACGATTACCTTGGATCTTTCCCTGAATGATCAGATGCAAAAGTTAATATTTTTCAGGGTGTCTCATTATGTGATCGAAGTATTCCAGCTTGCGTTTCTTTATTATATTGACCAGTGTGTTGTTTGGTTCAGCCGTCTAAGGACCTCCTCATTTCTAACTCTGTCGACCCAACTTATTTTCAGTAGTCGTCTGTATATCCACATCTCAAAGGCTGTCAAGCGTTTAAGGATAGCCTCAGTTAGAGTCCACGCTTCCACTCCATACAGCAGGACAAGAAAGATGTAGCAATATGTCATTCGAATTCTAAAGTCAATGCTAAGATCGTGACTGCAAAGTACGTTTCTCATATTTACAAAGTCAGCTCGGGCTTGTACTATTCGGCTTTAAATTCTGCGGTTGGATCCCAGCTCTCATTGATATTACTGCCGAGATACACGAGTTTCTCTACTCTGTCCAGTGTGGCATCTCCGACTTTTACACCGTCATCCTGTATATAATTTTGTTTGCTAACTATCATATATTTAGTTTTCTTAACGTTGAGTTTTAATCCATACTGATCACAAGTCTGTTTTATTTTGTTCATTAGATTTTGAAAGTCTTCTCTGCAATTCTCTCTCGAAGCAAGCACTAAGGTATCGTCGGCATATCTAATATTGTTGACGGTTACTCCATTCACAATAATACCTTCGGTTGTCTCCATTAAGGCTTCCTTAAATATTTACTCCGAATATAAGCTAAAAAGGAAAGGCGACAATATACAGCCTTTTCTCACTCCTCTTTTTATATTTATTTCATTCGACAGTTCTTGTTCAACCTTTATTCTTGCGACTTGATGCAAGTATAGATTTGTAATTATTCGTAGATCTTTATCGTCCAATCCAGCTGTTTCCAATATTTCCAGCATTTTGTTAAGTCGGACTTTGTCAAAAGCCTCTAGGTGGTTTCTCGTTGCCTTCCTAGAGTGTGTAATAGAAGGAAATATAGTGACCCGTCTGCCCTCGGAAACCTAATAGCCATTCGGGGTCGAAAGAAACAAGTACTAGCCAAGAGAGGCCGATAGGAAAGATTAAAGACATTTCACTCAAGACAAGTTGAAAAAGAGTGAAATGTGAAGGCCCTTATGATGCGCCAGGTGCGTTTCATAAGCGTTTGAGTTCTTTAAGCACTAAAAGGTCTCATAAGCACTTTATGTTCTCGCTCATACCTCGGGGTATTGACTACAGACTGTATGGCTCTCCCAGCATGTCATAGCATAAAGGGAAGGATGCATGTCATTTTTTACAATGTAGGCACCCCAACTCCACGGCCTGACGATGACTTAGAAATAGAAATATTAGAAACAAGAGAAATAAAAGTACGTACCTACTTATTATACCAGACGTGAGAAACTAAGGTGATAAAATAATATATAAGTGAATTAAACATTGTTCCAGTAAACGGGTTCGTACCCTAAAATCTAATATTACTGTGAAATTGCCTAGCGAAGCTAATTCGGCAAAACAATTAACTTCTATTTTGGAAACCTGTTTTTTCCAGAGGAATTACTAAATATAATTATTATAGAAAATACGAATAAATATATTCAACAAATAACAAACAACTATACACAAAAAAAAAGAAATGCTAGACCTATAGATGCAGTCAAAATAAAAGGTCTGTTAGGTTTATTATACAGGGTTAGCCACTTAAAATAGTCCACCCTGATATTTGGCAATATTCATTAGACTTTCTGAAAATGCTAAAACGGGTCGATTTTTATTCTAAAAGGGTCATCTTTTAACGATATAGATACATGTCCTCTCCTTTCCAGTACCTCAACCCTTAAATTTTAAAAGGAGAATATACCATGTGTGGCACATTGTTAAACAGGTATTTCGCTGGAGAATTCAGACATCTTTATTTTTTTTTTCGATATTATCTCTATTTTTATGAAACAGTATCAGTTTATTGAAAGTGTTATACCTCCTAAAACTAAACGTAATGCCTATGTTTTGCCGGTGACAATTTCTGGTTATATCAAAAGCTACATTATAATGAAGTTTGCAACAATAATATACTCGGTTCGCTAATCCCAGTTCGAACTGTCTAGTGAATTTGATAATTATTTTTTGCGAAGTTAGTTACTTTTTAACAGACTAAAAGTGGCTGGAAATTACTATAAGACCAAGCACACGTACTCATAGCCAATATTAATAGTAAACAAACTAAATAGTAAATAAAATAGAACTTTGCGAATTACCGACAATCAATATTTATTTATCTGCACCATATAATAAATAGTTATGTTAAATTATAACAACTAAAATATATTTTTTAAATATAGTACTACCCAAAATTTGATGGGTTTAGTATACACTTCCACTATTTAGAATAATTCTTCTTTTTTCAAAGGAAGAAGTCTGCAATAGTAGTATACTTGAGCTATTAATACTGAGAAGTAGGAATTGTTGTGTTGTAGGTTTCCGACAATGAATCTGTCAAAATATGCCCGAGCTAAGCGAATGGAGTATAGGAAACTTTTTTAAATGATAGTTTCTCTGCTGTTTCTTTCTCTAGGTAACAAAATCTCTATAAATCATCATCTGCTAATCCCATCAGTTACAACTGCCTATTCAGTTTAAGTGCCCTGTTAATAGACCTACTAAGGCATTGATTGTTTTCCTGTCTTTGCTTATTAGGTTTGCTGTATATTTTGGCGAATATTCTATAATGGTCTGTAATGTTTGGCCTGTCTTTGTTCCGGTAAAAAATTTACATAATATAGAATAATTTTCAACTATCCGTCCTTCCATGAATACAGAAACACTATATATTACCCAGTACCCAGTTGCCGGACTATTAACTAAATACTAAGACTATTTGTTTGAAGTTTCAACTTTCACAAGCCGGAACGCCTCAAAAATATCCAATTTTTTGTGGACTTAGCCTAAAAAGTGAAAAAAACCTAACAAAAAACGTATTATGAACCAAAAACAATTTACTTACATAAAAAGCAAAGAAAAGTATATATACATGTCTTAATAAAAAAAAAACGTAACTAAAACGTATTAAATATCACTGCTTTTTACGGCTAAATTATGAAAAAATGCGTAAAATTGTTTAAAATAATCAAGATTTTTAATATTTCATAATAATATGGCGGCCATGCCCAAGAAATTAAATTTTATGTACATTTGACATTGTTGCTAGTATTAACATTTAAAATACCTAAAAATTTAATGAAAATACTTACCTGAATAAAACTTAATAATATAAACTTCTCTGCAAAACGAGTACCAATCAACCATCGTCTTGGAAGAAATCCCGAACTCGTCATTTATAAATGCTTGCCTAAGCGGCTTTAAATGTAATAAAGTTGCCACCAACATGAATATTTTCTCTACCGGCAATTTACTTGCTTCCAAAAAGCTCCCTTTCTTTGCCGATAGACTAAATCCACACTTTTTGTGTGTTTTTTGGTCTTG